AGTGCCCGAAGCGCTAAGCTCAGAAACTTCTGGCCCAAACACAAACCTCCCAAGCCTTGCCCTGATAGCTGCTGGTCTCCCCATCATAGCACCAGCCCAAATCGGCACTTGGGTAGAAGTTCCTGAACAAGGAGGAGACAAAGGAGGGGTAGCACGAGGAGGAGGAGGTAGCAGAGGAGATAAAGGTGGAACAGATGTGCCTGGCAAAGAAGATTCTGGAGCGGCAGTTGAAGAAGTTGCCAGTTGAGAAGGGGCCACCGTGGAAGCCACATGGGGGGCATCATCTGTCCTTATCACTTTGGGAGAAGAAGATTCTGGAGCAACAGTTGGAGAAGTTGCCAGTTGAGAAGGAGCCACCATGGAAGCCACATGGGGGGCATCATCTGTCCTTATCACTTTGGAAGAAGGAGGGCTCCTGCTAGAAAAACGGGACACCACCACCCTCTTACTCGCTGCAAGAAATAGAGAAGGGTTAAAAAAAAAAAAAAAAAAAAAAAAAAAGAGGAAACTAACTCACCCTTTTTCTTCGAAGAGGAGCTGCCAGATTTCGGAGATGGAGCTACAGCTCTAGAATACTTGGGAAGGAGAACTCCCAAATCTTTACAAGGGCAAGCTTTGACAGCCTCCAATTTCCACTCCTGGTCCCGGGAAAGCACAGGTATATCTACATAGAAAAAGTGAGCACACACACACAAAAAAAAAAAAAAAAAAAAAAAGAAGTGTGCAGCATACCGGGCTTTTTAGCAGCACCCCAATGTGTTGGCACCAAAACTCTATTGGTTTCTGAAGCCCATTCTCCACCAATAAAGAAGAAACAAGATTTCCAGTCTCCGCAATTAGAGCGCATCCCTGTAAGCACTGTACCACTCCGCACGGTAAAATAGTACCATCCCCTGTTTGGTGTAGGGGTTTCGCTCAAATTATATGCTGCATGAAACTCCATAGGGGAAGCATCCTCGTGGTGCACCTTTCTCCATAAGGCAAGAAAACCGAGCAGGACTCTCCAACCGTTGGGCGCTAGTCGCCCCGGAGTCAAAGAGAAGTAATGCAAAACTCGACAAATGGGGGAGGACATGGGAAATCTTAACCCAGCCTCAAGCATCTCCTCGTAGACAACGATATCCCCGGAAGAGTCATCGCAAGCAAACTCGCCCAACTCAGCCCGGCGGCACAACACGGTCGGAGGGATGCGATAAGTAAAAACAAGCCTAGAAATATCTTCATCTGAGCAGAACAAACTATGAAGGGTGCTCACCTTAGACCCGTCATCATCAGGTCCCACCTTGCTGTTACGTTTCTTCTTCCGGGGCCTTAAGGAGTAGTCCAAATCATCATTGGGAGAGTCTTGAGGAACTTGAATCGGGGAAACTACAACAAGGGCTTGATCATCAAGGGCAGCATCCAAAACTTCCCTACTGCTTGCAATTTCTAGCCCAACGCCTGAAAGTGTGCCTGACTGCTGTTGCTCATCAAAACGAAGTTGCCCAGTAGCTTGAAGGGTGCTTGGCCTTTCAATATTGCACAAAACAGAATTTTCGGCGCAAAAATCAGCACCTAAGGCGCTCAAATCAGCACCTCGAATGAGAATCGGATCAGCCCGTGCTCCCAGGCCACTGCCTAGCTCTCCCTGACAAACCTTGGACTGATTTTCAGCACCCCTCGATGGAAAAATGCTGCTGCCCAGCGTTCCAAAGCCGCCCAGCGCAGCAGATCTGAAGCTGTCCGGGACAGCAGAATCAGCAGCTAGGCTGCTGCCCAGCGCACCTGGGCTGTCCAGGACAGCAAGGCCAGCGCCCAGGCAGCTGCCCAGCGCGCCTGGGCTGTCCAGGACAGGAGGAGCAGCGCCTAGGCAGCTGCCCAGGCCACCAGCGCGCCCAGCGCGCGCGCGCGCGCTGCCCAGCTGCGCGCCTGCGCTGTGCAGCGCGCCTGCGCTGTGCAGCGCGCCTGCGCTGCCCGTCTCCCCTTCCAGCGCGCCTGCACTGCCCAGGTCCCCAGCGCGCGCAGAGCCGCTGTCCAGGCCCCCAGCGCGCGCACAGCCGCTGCCCAGGCCCCCAGCGCGCGCACAGCCGCTGTCCAGGCCCCCAGCGCGCGCACAGCCGCTGCCTAGGCCCCCAGCGCGCGCACAGCCGCTGTCCAGGCCCCCAGCGCGCGCGCGCGTGCTGCCCAGCTGCGCGCTGCGCAGCCGCGCGCCCAGCGCGCCTCCGTCCAGCCGTCTCCCTGTGCAGCCCAAGCCATTCCTCGCGCTGCCCATCTCCCCTTCGCTGTCCAGCTTTCCAATTTCAGATCCATAGCTTTCTTCAACCTCCACCAATCCCTCTTCAATCGACATTGTTCACTTGAGAAGCTCAACTAGCAAGGAAGAAATCACACTCTTGAAAGGATTCAAGGAGAACACACACTTTGGCTTCAACAAAATGGGTAGAACTTGAGTTCTCAAAATTTTCAAGAGGTGGGTTCTCAACCTTAAAAATAAGTGAAGTGGTAATTTGAAGAAGAAGACTATATTTATAGTCTAGGGTTTCTTCAAAAAGAGGAAAAAAGCCCAAATAGACTAATATGGGCCCTCTTCAAAATAAAGTAGGCAAATAAAAAATTATGGGCCCTCTTCAAAACAAAGTGGCCAAAAAGAAAGTTATAAGCCATTTTTCAAAACAAAAAGGCCAAATAAGATATTATGGGCCTTCTTTAAAAAAAAAAAAATGTGTAATCAATGCCTCCTTCTCCAAGTCTCCTTGGACATGGGGCATTGGGGGGCAAATGATGGGTTAAGCCCAAGTAGTCCAATTTATGTATTAAAGTCCAACCCCAGTTGAGGAGTCCAACCTCATCGTGAATCCACCAAGCCAAAGGAGCCCAAAGCCGGTTAGACTTCTTGCTTAGCACGTCACCAAGAGGAGAGCACGGTTGGACTTCTTGCTTAGCACGTCACCAAGAGGAGAGCACGGTTGGACTTCTTGCTTAGCACGTCACCAAGAGGAGAGCCCAAGGCCGGTTGGACTTCTTGCTTAGCACGTCACCAAGAGGAGAGCACGGTTAGACTTCTTGCTTAGCACGTCACCAAGAGGAGAGCCCAAGGCCGGTTGGACTTCTTGCTTAGCACGTCACCAAGAGGAGAGCACGGTTAGACTTCTTGCTTAGCACGTCACCAAAAGGAGAGCACGGGAAGCTTATCAACGGTCCAATCTTTGACCACGTTTCCTTCAAGAGTTCCCCAAACTCTTCATTCCGTTGAGGATAAGTCGTGATCTCCACCGAAGATAATCTCTAAGCTGCGATAAAGAAGCCTTGAGGATATGTCATGATCTCCACAAGAATGATCTCTTATCTACTATAAAATGGCTCTAATCTGGGAGAGGAGGGGACACACCATCAGAGACTTTCAGAAGACGAACCGACTACCGGAGATTATTTCTTTTTCTTTGATTCTCCATTCCCCCTCTCAAAGCTTGTATCTCCGTTCTCCATACCTTTGAATCAATAAAATACCCGGCGACTGAAGCCATTGAAGAGTGGACGTAGGTCGAATTGACCGAACCACTATAAATTGTGTTTTCTTTAATTTTATCCTTGATTTCATTGCATTTATTATCTATACTTGACAGGTGGTGTACAAAACCATTTTTGTGCATCATCAATATTGATATGCTTTAAGGGTTACAAGATTGAAGAAGTACTAAAGCATGTCTTCGATATAATAAAAGAATTGTTTTTGTTTACGTACGCAGTCATATTTGTATTACAATTCATTGCAAGAGGGAATATATGTGTTGTTATTGTTCTTTCTTCCATATCTGTCATTATATTATCGGATTTAAGTTGATTGTAAGTTTTCAAATTTCTATAGCTGTCGCATGTTTGATAAAATGGTTCAATCAATAATGACGTTAGTTATTTTCATTGCATGTTAGTAGTAGCTATCGTAATAATATTCCCTATCCTCCTTGCAAGTTTTGCCATGGTATAAAATTTAATCTTCCCATTTGTTTTAATTTTTTGTTGTGGTTTGTTCTAATTAACGCGATTAAGTCTCCATTTTTTGATGTGTTTTATTTGTGTTGTAGAGAGTAGTACTGAAAAGACTCCCCCTCATCTATAAAGAAGAAAAGACTTTACTTACAGAATAGGGGCAGTAAGCATTTGTAGTAGTAGGAATTCTCCCAAGGGTTTAGGGGTACTAAGCTGCTAAAGGGGATTGCTTTTGCTAAAGTTGTTTGTTCTTCCCCGTGGATTGGGCTGTTAGCACGACTTGTTAGCACTTTCAAGCCTCTATGTGATTTGTTACAAGTGTTTCGTGTCATGTAAGAAGGGAATTGCGCGAATAATGAGACTGGCCTAACCCAAAGTAAAGGCTCTTCCCTCTCTTGATGACGAATTACTGGAGTCAATGGTTGGAGGGCTCCCCTCCAACTCGAGCACGAAATCAATATTGAGTCAACAATTATTGAGATGAGCAACAACAAGCGAGATCGAGACTGGTCCCTTAAACAGGGTTCCAAATCTGTGCTTTTTCAAATATCTCATAAATATAAGAAAGTAGGAACTTCAAAACTTGACTAACAAGTGAGAAACTAGACTTTGAGAAAACAAGTTTCGTACGACCAATTCAAAGAAGATAAACTTATAACAGTTGAACTCATTAAACCCGAAAAAAAGATATGTTTTAAAAAAAAATTGCTAAATAAGAACCATTCAGATATTTGATTTAACTTGCTGATCTTATTAACCCCATTATAAGTGAACCTCTATAAGGGGTTCGGTTTTTTAGGTGGGTAACTTTTTATACCTCGGGATTTGAGTTTTATGCGTTAATTTGTATTTTTATTCGATACCATATTAAAAAATATCACAAAAAATGATTAAAATTACAACTCAATTTATTACATTTAATGAAATTAGAGAACCTTAGAACTCAATTTCGGATATATTAGAATCGATTCTAGTATCCTATTATTTAAAAAGCCAAGATCTAGAAGCCATAAAAAAAAGTCATATTTGTTAAGCTATGATAAATTACATAAACTTGCATTTTTAAGTCTACCAATTCAGTAAGGAAAAAATTGACCAAGTGATTGTATTCGAGAAAATTAACAGAAATTTAGCATTGACGCTCAAACATTTCCATAGTAGATTTCGTCTCTATGGCATGTGCAAAGCATCATGCTGTCCCAAAGGGGCGTCACAGGGTGTAATTCTTTCGGTAATATTTACAACAGGGCAAGAAGGAAAAACGAAAACTACAGCTCATCAGCTGCAACCCTCATTGGTATATGTTTCTACTGCTACTGTTTCGGTTTGAGACAAGAGTGATCCTCTGATCCTGCAGCATGTTCAAATTGGGAGCTAACAATCGCGTATATCGATCAAAATAAAGCAGCTGTTTCATGAGGAGTGCGAATTCCCGTGGAAACCTCAGCCCATATGATTCGCTAACCCGAACCTGTTAAAAATAGAGAGAGCATGAAACCCAGAAGATTGAGGTTTATGGGGAACAAGAAGTAAGAGGAACAATAAAACGTCCATAGACAGGATATTTAGTGCAACGACACAAAAAACATCACCTACTATTGTTCATCTTTTCCAACTTTATAAGAGTTTTAAAATTATTTGTTTGCTGTCTTGATAAATCACAAGCAACTTGGAATTCTTGCACACAATTTAATGACTTTACATGTGCTCCTTTGCTTGAGAATATATGAATATATGTCCACCATCATAAATAGATGAAACCCCCTCAGTCGCAAGAAAAATAATTTTACTCATGCCTGATATTATCTAACAAATGATCATGGGATTTCGATTAAACCCTCCAAGCATGTATTGCCACCATCAAACCCGCAGCATTATCAGGACACTTTGCAACATGCGAACCTAGAGACAGCTGAAAACCTGGCAGGCAATATCATGATGACCTAAAAGTTGTCTATCCATATTTTCATTAAGGTGGGCAGGTAAAATGAATATTTGGGCTTGCCATCAGGAGTATCTACTTATTCCTGAAGCTGCAACCAATAAAATCTGGAAACTTTCACAAGCAAAACTCATTCACAGATCCATGGTTTTTAGACCTTAAAAGATTGTTGCTTTACAGCCTATAAAAATGCATGAAGACCCAAGGATAGAATAGCTTACCACGTCAAGAAATAGTGCATTCATCTGCCTCTCATCAACAACTAGATTGGCAGAGACGGCGGTTGCATTTGTATTTGTTCCTCTGGCTGTCGCAACAATGAGCTCTGTATCCATATCCTGCATCAAAACAAGAGAATCCATTACTTTAAAAAATGACTGCTTGGACTAAAAAAGGCACTGGACTCGGAAACTCTTGACGCCTTGATAAGAATACTGTAGCCATGGCCTACCATAAATCCTTTGTGGGGTTGTCCATTAATGAAACAAGAGGAAGCCACAGCTATCACCTCCCTTAACTCTTCTTTCATCATACTGATTTTCTCAAGTACCTATTCTAGGTTGGCCCTACTGAATATTTTCTCAGTGGGGATTCTGCCACTTCAGTAACTAAAAATATTCTGAAATGACTTACCTGCCATTTGTGACAATTCTGTATTTCAGATTCTTTCTTAAAAGGAAGTGTCTCAGTTTCCAGAATAACCAGCAAACAAAAGTGAATGTCTTCACTTTAACAGAAAATACACTTGAGGTTATTCACTTCTTCAAAAGAAGATTTAACCCCTCCATGATCAAAACTTCAATGCATTTATCAAGACTATCACCTACATACTGGTAAAACAGTGAATTCTTCTTTTCATGAAATTAGGCAAATAAAACGAATTTCCTACTCCCGGCTTACGTATGTATATATAATTAAAATATAGAATAGAGTTTTACATCTTTCTATATCTTTTGAGAATCCCATTTTGACTAGAAATCCCGGTTGGATTTGATTCTAACGAATCTTTTGATAATTTGTAAGAAATTTTTACTTTATTAAATTAGAAGACAAGAACAAAAGACAAAGAAAAGAATAATAACATGAAAGTCGATGATTATACATATCTTTCATGCAGAAAAATCATGAATAAGTCCATTTATTTAGTTCGACGTTCCTCGTGCTTAGTATATATACTCAGTTAGAGATATATTATATATACTTACTATATACTTATATAGTATGATCTGAAGCATTTTCATTTCAATACCACTACCCTGAAAACTTTTTCTCAGTGTCCAATCAATAATAGATGAGTAAGCAGTTATTTTTAGTGTTCCCTTCACAAAATATAGCTGCTGAACAAAAGACCTTCCTCATTCTAGTCAATTAAGTTATTCATCAGCTTCGTTAAAATTGTAACTAGAAAACCAATGTGAAATTGAGAATCATACTTAAGAACAGAGATAAAATGATTTTTAGTAGTAATTACAGTTTTTACCAGTATTGATGAAAATATCTTCTCTAAATCTCTTGCAAAGGCCTTAGAATCCACATCCTTGTCTGTAGCCCCCATTTCAATTAATGCAGATGCCATTGACTCATACTCTTCTGTTGCAATTGATGCCAAAAATACTTCCATGGCGGCCCATGTTTTGGGGGATATGCGTCCAACAATACCTGTCATTCATGTTTCATCTGAATTACACAACCTATCATTGCAAGCAGGAATTCTATATGGCAATAGAAGCAAGTAAAATCTCTATCCAGTTTCGCACATAAATTTCAATAAAAATTTTTGGGAAACATGCTTTTGATTACAATTTCATAATCAATAACAGAGCAGTTAAATTTCTGATGCAAAACCTGAAAACAACTTATTTGCACTTTGGGTGAAGTAAATGCAAATGGTATGAAAAGTTTAAAACGAAGGCATATGGCTACAAAAGAACTCAAAGTTAGACAATAATGTCATCCATAGGAAATGGTGGAACATGAGACATTGAGATATTTTACAGAAGCCAGCAAGTTCCAGCTCTGCATTGTCTTTGCATCTTTTAGACAAAATAAATGGATGGAACCTTTTACTGATGAAGGGAACAAGTTGGAAGGAAAAGAGAGCCAGAGACATGTGGCAAGAAAGATAGAATTTGCAGAAATCCTACTAACACTACCAATTCATACTCTGTTTGTCTGTAATTTTATTTCCCAAAAACTAATAGCATGAACAGGAAAGCGTGGAGTCCATGCAAAAATGACAAGAAGACAGATCTTTCTTTTATTATTTGTTCCTCCTGTAGATGCTCATCCTATATAAATTTTTAACACTCTCAATGTTCAAAAAAATTTTGGAAAATCCAGCCAATATGATACATGAAGGACAAGTTTAGGACACAAAGTTACAAGCAGGGAAAAAAAATTACTCACAATTATTGAACATCTACACTGCAGTAATATGGATGCAAGTTTCAGAGCCATAAAGGAACCATTATTAAATCAGTCTGTTAGGATTGATTCAAGGCAAAATATCTCTACTTGACAAAATGATCAAAGCTGCACCAAATCAAACCATAAATAAACTCAACGTGAAATGCTTATTGTATACCAAAGTCCAGAAATCCTATACGACCATCACGCAACAGCCACAAATTCCCTGCGTGTACATCTGCATGGAAGGTTTCACAGGCAAGCAAACTACCAAACCTGCAGAACCATTCATACAAAACAGATGAAGTTAGACAGATTGACATAAGATTTAAATCAAATTAAAACTTGCAAGGCAATGACTTGTCATGCTGATTGATTCCTACCACACATTTAAAGCAGTGATAAGACTTGTCTCTGGACTTGAAACAATTGCACTGATGGAGTCCAAGTCAGTAAGAGGAACTCCATAAAGCCTCTCCATTGTCAGAACTCGTCGGCTGCTGCACTGCAGATACACTTTTGGAGCTGTAGCCTGCCTTGTGAGTCCCATGGCTTCTAAATATCTCCTAAAGGATTCAATGTTTGTAGCCTCCTTATTAAAGTTAACTTCTTCAAGCATTGATTCCCTTATGTCTTTGACAATAGCAACCTACTTAAGAAATGCATACGTTATTATTTTAAACTTCAAGCAATCGTCATTTGAGAACATGAACCAATACTTAAAAATGGTTTATGTAGGGACCTGGGTTCATGGAAATAATCTCTACAATCCATTACAATAGAAGCAATATCAGAAACCCAATATGTCCCAAAATAATTTCTACATTGTTCTATACATTGTACCAAACCCAAGAGAAATGTAAAAAAATGTAATGACTAGGAGTCATGTAAAACAAATAAAATTGCTAAAAAGGGGATATATGAACAAGGACGACAGTTACTATGTGAAAGGTATATCTGTATGTTAAGAATAGTAGGGTAGTATATGTAAATTGTTAATAGTAAGAGGGTGTATGTGTAATTCTTATTATTGTAGGTTAACTATAAATACAATTGATTGATGAGAGCTAGGTTAAGTTTTAACCTCTCTCTGTTTCTCTCTAATATTGTGTTAATTCTCCACACTTAACATGGTATCAGAGCGATTACGATCATAACTATATTCTAAATAAATTAATTCTGTTTGTGGGTACTGTGGTGGTGCCGGTGTTTGTCGAAGGATAAGTGGTGGTGGTCTGTTTGTGGTACTGATGTGGTGCCATTGCTTGTCGAAGCATCGTGGTGGTGGTGGTGGTATTGTCATCGTCGTGGTGGTGGTGGTACTGTTGTGGTTCTGGTATTTGTCGAAGTGTAGCAATGGTGGTGATACTGTTGTGGTGGTCGTCATCTTTTGTTCTTCGCCGATGTCCGTTATTCGTCGTGGTGGTTGCCGGAGTTGTGGTGGTGGTGTTGGCTGTTGTGGTGGGCTACCGTTTGTAGTGGTGGTGAGGCGCAGTCAAGACCAAGGTTTACTGAAACTCTAATCAACGAACGGAGAAGACAAGGTCCAAACCCTTGTCCAGACCCGATCCACCTAGGTCCAACCCGGTCCTGATCCAGCCTAATTAAATCGGGTCCAGCCCCCCCGGTTTAGCCTAGACCGGTCCAGCTTAGACCGAATCAATCCCAGTTCGATCCCGGTTCATCAGTCCAATGAGTGTTTATAGTCCGGTTTAGATAATTTTGCACCGGTTCAGTCAGTTTTCACCCCGGTTCAACAGTCCAGCGTGCCTAATTAGTCCGGTTCAGTGATTCAGCGAGCTAAACCAGCCCGGTTTAGTGGTCCAGTTGGCTTAACCTGTCCGGTTCCGCAGTGTAACTCTTCTGGTTCAACCTACTCTCTTCCAACAACTTGTTTTCCAGCCCGGTTCAGTGGTTCAGAGGGCTTAGCTTGTTCGGTTCAGCAGTGTAACACTTCCCGCAGCCTGTTTTTTTTTTTTTTTCTTCTAGATTATTCTAGCAGCTTGTTTTTCTTACGGAACCCATGCAAGATACTAGGGCACTTACTCCATCTTTGCCTCCTCCTACTATTATCAATGGTCCCATGACCTCTGTCAAACTCAATAGGACCAATTATACATTATAGTCCCGCTCTGTTCAAGTCTTTCTTCGAGACAAAGGATTTAAAAAATATTTGGTGGATCCTAAACCCAAGAAAAATAGTCCTGGGTATGATTAATGGGAACAAGATGATGCTCAAATTATTTCTTTACTACTGCATAGCATTGAGCGTAGTATTAGTTCTACTCAGCTCTACCTTAACACTGCCAAAGAGATATGAGATCACTTGGCCACTATGTATTCTGGTACAAGCAATTTTATCACAGCTTATTAGGTGTGCAAGGAGTATTTCTAGCTAGAACAAAGTATTCTGAGCATTGAAGATTATTACTCTCACGTTCGAGGAGTCTGTGAAGAGATGAAGACCTACCATCCATTTACTACTGATGCAGCAGTTTGACAGAAGCAACATAAGGACATGAATGTTGTTAGGTTTTTGGTGGGTTTGAAACCTAAATATGAGGGTATTCGTTCTCAGATTTTGGATGGCTCTACCATTCCCTCACTACTTGAGGTTTTCTCTCACATATAACATGCTACTTTGTCTACTTCAGGTATCAATCATGGTGTTTTCACTGACCGCTCAGCTCTTGTGGTTCTTAATAGCCATAGTGATGGTCATTGAGATGGTCGTGGTAGTTGTGGAGATTGTAAGGGAGGTCGTATGAGTGGTCGTGGGGGCCGTAGTGGACCACGTTCCTGTACTCACTGTGGTCGTGGAAGGCATACTGTTGATTTCTGTTGGGATTTATATGGCAAACTTTCTGGTACTGCAAATCAAGTTTCTTATCAGGATGACACCTCTGTTGTAACTTCTATACCTCGGTCAGTTCCACCAGATACTGGGTCAGTTACTCTTACACGAGAAGAGTATACTCAATTCTTGTCCCAGTAACAGGCTGTTCCATCTCCCTCCACTGCTACTTTTACCCAGTCAGGTACTGTTTCCACCTATTTATTGTCCTCCACTCGCAATTCTTGGATCATAGACTTTGGCGCCTCTGACCACATGACTGATGCATCTGACGTTTTTTCTACTTATCAATCTACTACTTTCACACATGGTGTTACTCTTGCTAATGGTACTTATTCTAAAGTTTCAGATCTGAGGACTACTCACTTGAGTCCTGATATGTCCCTATCTTCCGTGTTATTTGTTCCTCAATTTTCTTTTAGTTTACTTTCCATTAGCAAGATTACCCGTTCTCTCAATTGTTCTGTAACTTTTTATCCCTCTTATTGTGTCTTTCAGGATCTCAAGACGAAGAGGAAAATTGGTACGGGACATAAAGCTGATGGCCTGTATTACCTTGACTTTGATTCACCTACCCGAGCTTTATAGACCTCGTTGTCTCCTTTGCAATGGCATTGTTGTCTTGGACATCCCTCTCTCTAGAATCTGAAGCGTCAAGTTCCCAGTCTTAATTATGTGTCGTCTTTGTCTTGTGAGGCTTATCAACTTAGTAAACATTATTGTGTGTCATTTCAGTTTAGAGTCAATAATCGTGTGTCTAGTCCATTTGAATTAGTCCATTCTGATGTATGGGTTCAATAAATAATATTTCATCTAATAAATATCCTTATTTTGTGACATTTGTGGATGTCTATTCTCGTGTGACTTGGTTATTTTTGATAAAAGCTCGATCTGAATTATTCTCTATATTTTAGACTTTTCGTAAGAAAATAAAAACTCAGTTTGGTTGTCGTATACGTACTTTTCGTTTCGATAATACTCGAGAATATGAATTTGATCCTTTTTCAGCTTATCTTAGTAAAACTGGCATTATTCATCAGATTTCTTGTGCTTACACCTCTCCACAAAATGGTGTTGCTGAACGCAAGAATCGTCATTTGTTTGAAATCACCCGTGCCCTGTTATTCCAGATGAATATTCCCCGATGTTATTGGAGTGATGTTGTTCTTACTATTTGTCATCTTATTAATCGTATGTCATCCTCTGTGTTAAATGGGTAAAGTCCATATTCTGTCCTTTTTCCTGATAAGCCCTTATTTTTCCTGACTCCTAAGATTTTTGGTTGTGTTTGTTATGTTTACAATTTGGGTCCTAGGTTTGACAAACTTGACCCTCGAGCTACCAAATGTATATTTCTTGGTTACTCTCGCACGCAGAAGGGGTATCATTGCTACAGTCCTTCTCTGCATCGATACTTTACTAGTGCAGATGTCACATTTGAAGAATCTATTTCATACTTTCCAGCACTTTCTCAGCCTTTAGATCTGGACTTTGGATCCTTTCCTGTACCACTATCTCTTTCCTCATCTTCAGATATTCTGCTGTCCATTGTGTTACCATCTACTTTACCTCTCCGTGTCTACTCTTGCCATCCTCGCCCATCAACTGAGGTGCCCGTTCCATCTTCCTTGTCACCTTCTGATCCTGGTACATCAAGTAATTTCGACTCTTTACCTATTGCTCTTCGCAAAGGTACTCGTTCGTGTGTTAGTAATCATCCCATTTGTCATTTTGTTTAATATGATGTCTTGTCTCCTGTCTTCTCCTGTTTTACTTCCCTATTATCTGCTATATCTATTCCTAAGCATTTACAAGATGTATTATCTAATCCGGGTTGGAAGAAAGTTATGGAGGAGGAGATGGATGTTTTACATCATAATGGGACTTGGGATCTCGTTCCTTTACCCTCTGGTAAACGAACTGTTGGCTGTCGTTGGGTGTATACTAATAAATTTCATCCAAATGGTTCTGTGGAGCGTCTCAAAGCCCGACTTGTTGCAAACGGCTTTACTCAGACTTAGGGTGTTGATTATGAGGAGACTTTTTCTCCTGTTGCCAAAATTTCTTCTGTCTGTATCTTGATTTCTTTGACTGCTAATCTTGATTGGCCCTTATTTCAGTTACATGTCAAGAATGCCTTCTTACATGGTGATTTGGTTGAAGAGGTCTATATGGAGTAGCCACTTGAGTTTACTACTCAGGAGGAGTATGGTAAGAGTGTATGTCGATTAAAAAAATCTGTCTATGGTTTGAAACAGTCACCGAGGGTATGATTTGGAAAATTTTCAGATACAATTTTAGAGTTTGGTCTTCTTCGATGTCAAACAGATTATTTTGTATTTCATAGACAGACAGATGTTGGGTATGTCCTATTGGTGGTCTATGTAGATGATATTGTAATTACTGAAAATGATTCTGAGGGGATTGTCAAGTTAAAAATATTCTTACAGGATCGATTTCATACTAAAGATATGAGAAAACTCAAGTATTTCTTGGATATTGAGGTGGCTCGATCTAAACAGAGTATTTATTTATCTCAGAGGAAATATGTACTTGACATGCTTGAGGAAGTAGGTTTGCTGGATGGTAGACCGATTGATGTTCCTATGGATCCGAATCAAAAATTATTGATGGATGATGATGTATTATTTGAGAATTCGAGTCGGTATCGCAGATTGATTGGGAAGCTTAATTATCTCACTATTACTCGACCGAATATTTCCTATGTAGTCAGTATAGTAAGTCAGTACATGGGATGTCCTAGAGTACCACATTGGGAGGCAGTTACTCATATTCTGCGATATCTCAAACGAGCTCCTGCACTTGGACTGTTATATCGAGCTAATGAACATCTTAGAGTGGAAGGTTTCTTAGATGCTGATTGGGCTGACTCCCCTTCTGATCAAAGATCGACCACTGATTATTGTACTTTCTTAGGAGGTAATGTTATCTCATGGAAAAGTAACAAACAACCCGTGGTAGCAAGATCCAGTGCTGAGGCTGAGTATAAGGCAATGACACATACGACGAGTGAGTTAACTTGGCTACTACACTTCCTCTAGGAAATTGGGTTTCCAGTTCAACTTCCTTTACAGTTGTTCTGTGACAACCATGTAGCTATTCATATCGGTGTCAATCCTGTGTTTCACGAGAGGTAAGCATATTGAGGTTGATTGTCATTTTATTCGGAACAAGATAGTAACTTGGGAAATTACAACTCTATTTGTGAAATCTGAAGATCAGCTTACAGATATGTTTATCAAAACATTGAGTCGTACACGTCTTATAGTTATTTGTTCCAAACTTGAATTATATGATATATATATAGTCTAGCTTGAGGGGGAGTGTTAAGAATAATAGGATAGTATATGTAAATTGTTAATAGTAAGAGGGTATATGTGTAATTCTTATTATTGTAGGTTAACTATAAATACAATTGATTGATGAGAGCTAGGTTAAGTTTTAACCTATCTCTATTTCTCTCTAATATTGTGTTAATTCTCCACACTTAACACTGCATAACACAAGACCATGAGCATGGCATAGAGGTGCAAATTGCAACACAGCTGTGGAAAAGTACAGTTTAGTATGTCTCAAAGAAGCGTCAGGTTGATAGTGCAGTATACCTACCCTTTACAGGGTTAGATTAGTATTAATGTTGCAAGGACACATTTCCAAATATGTCAACATATTGCATCAAGTAAAATTTGTACAACTAACCATCGAAGAGGAAGTATATTAGTCATATTTTGCACACGAACGAAATTCTGTTCACACCATACCAGTGATGCACGGCTCAATTCAGGATTCACGTATTCCAAAATGCGAGCAACAACGTACACAAAGTTCAGATCAGCCACTAATATATCTTCGATTCCAGGTTTCAAGACCTTTATGACCACATCCTCTTGGGAACCTCTGAGCCTTGCACCATGAACCTAAAGACAAAAAATGACAATCTAATTTTTTTGGCAAGATAAAATTCTAATTTTTATGGCCTTATATCAAACAGAGAGAAGTTAAAGATTTTGAAACAAAAAACAAAGTGTTTATAAACCTGCGCTATAGATGCTGAGGCAATTGGAGTTGGATCGACGTACTCATACACGGTATCTATTGGTCTCCCCAGTTCTGCACGCAATATGATGTTGATCTCTTCAAAAGGAACAGCAGGAGCTCTATCAAAACAGTACTGAAACTCCTGGACATATTCTGGGGGAAATAATGTGGGCGCTGATGCTATGAACTATCAGTTGAAAGATAAAAGTAGCTTTTGAGACATATCAACATAAAAAGATAAATCATTTAGCAAAAGAAAAGCAGTAGACCAATAAATAAGGAACTGGTATATAATTAGTATCTGAAAAATTTTACTGAGTGGCTATACAAGAAAAGTGCATTTTAGACAAACTGATTACATTAAAGTACTCTACTCCCTACAAGTAAAAAATCAGCAGTCTTACAAACTCAAACATCTCAGTAATAAACAAATAATGATTTTCTTTCACTTGCAATCACAGGTTTATAGTTTTAAGAAGCACAAGGAATGCAGCAATCTGCACTTACCTGACCTAGTTTGACATATGTAGCACCCATGCGTTCAAATAATTTTCTGAGGTACAGGGGGGATAGTAATCCAAGCTGCATCTGAGTTGGTAAGCCAGCGGATGAATTTGTTGACTACAGAAAAAAAAATTAAAAAAAAAGGTGTGTTACTTGTTCAATTTATATCATATGGTTTATATATTAAAAAAGTACCACAATAATATTTGCACTAATAAAAATAAAAACTGACCAAAAAAGCAAGATATAAAATACACTTTTTTGGCAATACATAAGCAGAATTGTTACATGGTGCACCAATTGATGGTATATCATTCACTCAACAATCTGAAGCCTAGAAAATGAAAACCAACTTGAGACTTACTCATTAACTTAAGGCTCGTTTGTTAACGTTTACGGTTTTTAATTTTCTAAAAAACGAAAAACAAAATTAAAAAATAAAAAACGTCTTTTTCTCGTTTTTAAAAATCCCCCCTCGTTTACAAAACGATGACAGAAAAAAAAAGATAAAACGGTTATCAAACGAGTTTTTTTTTCTTGTTTTCTCTAATTATCAAAATAAAAACGAAAAACAAAAAATATAAACGTTACCAAACGGGGGACCTTAGTAATTGAGTGATCTCATCTCATGCACAACTCAAGATTCCAGCGAATGCAAACAAATAGAATACTGCACAATTCACAATCACTACAAGAATTGAACGTGCACAGTTACCTTGGATACATCTGAGAGCCACTCGCCACCCACTCCAATGATTGCTTGAATACCTTGAGCTAGCCTCAGAGCCCCACGTGGACCTGTATTTATAGATGTCTGGACTATATCCTCCACTAGTTTTGGCAAATTCTCAATTCTGTCTGAAAGGATAGAAAATAATCATTAAGCTTTAACGACCAAACTGAAAACAGAATCACCATAACTTATGTGCTAGTACATGATTAATAACTACGGCGAAACAGAGATTAATGTAGCCGGCCCCAAAACGTTAAGATAATGCTTTGTTGAGTTCAGTTGATTACATGATTAATAACTACGGGAACAAAAATTCCAAACACAGAAACATCTAGTTAACAACCAAATGGAAAATTGGGGAAAAAATAAATCAAACAATGAGGTTCAATTTCGTATTACCTTGAAGACGAGAAGTGAAAAAATCTTGTGTCTGTGAATATCGAGCAACAAGAGTTAAACCATTGGGGCGACGAGTGAGCTTCCTCTGTGCAGCTGATATGCTACCAGCAGGCAACTGCAATTAAGAGTCAGAAATCAATTACAAGATCGAATTAGAGCGTTGAGAAGTAATCAAATACATGGAAAAAAGGGAAGAACAAATAATTTCTTCAAAAAACGAAAAATAGAACCTAATAGATATACAAATTGATTGAATACAGGCATAACACACACACATATGTATATATATATATATATATATATATATATAGAGAGAGAGAGAGAGAGAGAGAGAGAGACCTGAGGATGATGAAATAAAGGTAAGCGGCCATGAGCGACGCCTCTGAAAGAGGCAACCACCGCCATTCACCGGTCGAGATTGAATTTCGATACTGAAAGTCGTTGAGTCCCTTGGCTACTCTGAGGCTAGCTTGCTATTCAGCTCGGAAATGGACAGTTAATTGTAATTTTCCTATTGTCATCTGTAATTTGTATTTATGGGTGAATGATATTCTAAAGAATAAAATTAAAATATTATATTTTCAGTAAGACAAAAATATAGTAATTTATAAATTTAATTGTGGGTGAAATACAGGAAATTCAATTTTTAAGGTCTAAGTTTAAAATTTATGATTCTTTTAACATGCAAAGTGTCATTTATCATTTTGATCTCCAATATTTCAATTATATTATTTTAGTCTATGAAATATTAAATATATTTCTATGTAGTCATTCAAGCAAACAACATTCAGATTATCAACGATTTTTTTTATAAATTTGTCACGTAATTCTTAAATATGAGGAAAAAAATAAATTAAATAACTCTTGATTAAATTTTTACCCAATTTTTTGTCAAATAGATATTTAAATTACACAATTTTGATCATGAACTATCTAAATTTTGGTCAAAAACTATCAATATTACATATTTTTTTGTTAAGAGTTACTCAAATGTTAGTCAAGAGGTACCCAAAATATTTTTTGCCTATATTTAAAAATCACATGATAGTGATAAAAAAAATTCTTAAAAATTTGGATGTTATTTACTTGAAGGATTACATAGAAATATATTCAATATTTCAATGACTAAAATAATATAATTGAAATACTATGAATCAAAATGAGACAAATACTGAAAATTTAGGATCTCCAATGTAATTAACTCTAAAAATTAAATACTGAAAATTATATTAGCAAACATTGAAACGACATCGTCTAGATTTTGTATCGGGTTTTTTTCATTATCACAATCGCAGTGTTAAAAATATTTCCGGTTGAGTCAGTGAAAGAGAAGAGCCCACGTGGAAACGCAGACCCGTGGACAAATCCTAATCATCGATAAGCGGCATAACTACCAATTTGCATGACCTTTCCCAAAAGGTCGACGGACCGGGTCTACCCAACCTTGACCCAGATTAGTCTGTCCATCGTGAACATTTTGGCAAGTGAATACATGGTGAGAATACATTAGTGGCCATTTGTGGGTTCGAAGGTCGTGTCCCTTCTTATATACATATTCCATCACTCAAAAAAAAATCATGGTACTTACGAGTTTTATTTTATCAGAAATCATATGAATTTAAACTTTCATTAATCTATTAGAATTTCTCTTATTCATGTTATATATCTATATAATACAATAGATAGATTGTTTGTTTTGAATTTTTTGCGATTCGAATCGTTTTAATCTGATAGTCCTAATTAAACTTTTACTCTTTTTACAACTCTAACACTCTCACCTTTCATATAATTTTTTATCTATCTATCTTATACTCTCTCTCTTTGATACTATTTTTTTTTGTTTCTACTGTATTGTTTTTGTTATTATTTATTCCATAAAACAAATAAAACTATATGTTGTGCAATTATTTATTCCATGAAACTGATTAAAATTTTTATATATCTGACGACATGTATTTTACCACTTTCTTTTTAATTTATAAATAACACTTAATGTAAATAAAAAATAATATATTGACTATAACCACCAAATAATATTAAAATTCGAAATGAATCTTAAATTATAAATTAATATATAATTTAATCAAAAATTGACATTTAATCTTATCCAATTTATACTAATTTGATAAAAATAAAAATTAATTTAATATTAACTCGACAAAGTTGAATATAAATTGAGAATCACCAATGCTCTGACGGGGTGATTCATCATGGATGCTTGCTTACAATATGCTTTAAGTTTGTTTTACTGTATAATTTCTTTTAACTTCCATGGATACCATTTTTTGCGTTTCAAATTGCACAGCATGTTTCGCATATGAACAGTAACCAAAATGGAAGAACAAATGGAATTAAGCTAGGCCCTTAATAAGGATTTGTTAAGTGTCGCAACTTCCAGCATCTCTCAATGGGGACAATCAGGCTGTTGCCTTATTTACAACATAGGAGGGAAGGAACAAAGACTTTACTTTCCAGGTCACTTAATAGTCTGATAGTGATAGTCTGATAATGAGAGAAGTTCGTCCTTACGTAATTCTATTCGGTCAGGAATAACAAGATGAGGAAAGAGTCTTAATATCTATAAATAATCTATAAATAGTCTTACCCTTGCGCTTAGCAACAGGAAGACTAAGGCTAGCTATCCGCCTTCTTTGTGATACGCCAACGATTCACAACTAGGAACCGTAGGTGCTGTGAGAAGCACATACAGCTTCTCATAGAAATATAAAAATATATCGCCCACTTCCTACAATCTGGCCTGAACCTTTGGGTAGACTTTGCAGGAATAATAATAACTGCATGAAGTATGATAGAATTTTTCGAGAATTCTCTCTTGAGGTTGTGAGAGTTGGAGAAGCGTCTACGGGTCGTATTCATAGTGTGCCCTTTGATTAGACCATAACCCCGCCAATATTACTGATCATCTCTGATTCTATTAATATAACCCAACAAACCGCAAAATCGTTGGGCATTGCTACAGCACTGCATGAATGATTTGGAGGATCAGAGAGATCGGCCTGTGTATTTGACTTGAAAGTATGAGCAGAAATGGTGTCCTTTGCGTTGCAGTACTGCTGGTAATGAAGCCTCATAACATCGTCTCCTGCTACCAATGATCCCCACAAGGGCACACTCCATCATGCAATTGATGGTACGGATTGGACCCCTTAAGAAAATGCTCCGACACTCCCATCTCAGTCAACAGATTTTGAAAAGGCATGACAGTCTCCACATGTCCTGAGGTTTTTCCTGCTCCTCATAGTCTGCTCCGCAGCGCCGATGTCAAGTTCATCATACGAAACACAACAGTTTCTCCAGCGTTGTAAACGAGCAAATATTTCGTTGTTCCCCTTCAAGACATTGCAAGACAATTTGTGTCTGGAACATCACCCCTTTCCTGTAATTTCCAAATCAACTGGTTCAGCTCCAACTGATCTTATTAAAATTGGAGAGTGTGAATAGTCCCTCAATGTGGAAGAAAGTATCTCCTTGTTTACGTTAATCCAGCTACACCCAGTTCCTTCACTCTTCTGCTCATCATGGTACTCACTTCGGCAACAACTTCCCACCTCTGAGAGTTCACATACATATACAATAAAAGTATGTGGGTTCCTGCATCACTGGGATCCAGTTTTAAGATTTGTTTGGCTACATATACACTTAGATTCATGTTCCGGTGAGCCCTACAGACTCCAAGCAAAGTTCTCCAGGCCATGGCATCAGGTTCATATTCCATTTCATGAATTAGCTTTGCTGCTTCACCAGGTTCCCCTGCCCTTCCAAGATCAACTATGCAGCCATTGGTCTCTCTACCTGGATCCATACCAAAAACACCATTGATCAGAAGTCATCTACTAGTACTGCATGGCTACAAGCGAGCGAAATCCCAAAAAATTGCTATGCAGTGTGGTCTGCCAGTCTAGTCCCTAAAACTTTCGTTGCCCTGCCCTGGTTGAAACCCTTTTAGGTCATATCTATGATCATAGTTATCAAATCGTGTATCGGAAGGCGTATCGTAAGATACAAATATTGTATCGTATCGTGTATCGTATCGTGTATCGTAAGATACGATGCAATTTTAAATAAATAATAAAAAAATATATATACCTTTGAAAAAAAGTCATACACTCATAAAAAATATAGCATTTCATTAATACTCCACCAATTATTCAAGTTATCAACATAATCCACTACTATTATAATGCAAAGTTCACAACCATAGTTCACTAATTCAAACTTTAAACACCAAAGAGACTTCTAATCCAAATTTCTAACATCTATTTTGAACTCAATCTTCAATTTCAATTGAAAATGCATCATCATCATCATCATTGTGATCGGATGCCAACAAGTCTTCACTTGTCGTTTTTTTAAAAAAAAAATCAGAGCACAAAACGACGTCGTTTTAAAAAAAAAAAAAAAAAAAAAATTGCACGTATCGTGCGTATCGTACTGATACGTATCGTATCGTACCGATACGTATCGTATCGTAAAAACGTATCGTGTATCGGACGATACAACGCAAAAACAATACATAACTACGATCCGTATCGTTTTAGGGCTGTATCGTAACGTATCGTACGATACGTATCGCGTATCGTACGATACTAACAACAATGCCTATGATAATGCTACTCCAAGAGATGACAGCCTTCTCCATCCCAAAGTTGACATCTTCCAAACAGCCACACTTGCAATTCATGTGCATTATGAAGGATTAGGTCTTGAGGGAACTTGTGTACATAAGCAGGTGCTTCCCAATTCCAATAGAGCTGAACCAGTGCAATCTCTCAAAACCATCGTTAGAGTTGACTGATAGGGAAAAACCACCACTCTATTCATTCTGTTGAAAAGATTCACAGCTTCATCTCCCTCACAGATCTGAGCAAATTCACCACAAGTAACCAAATCTGCAATCATCATCTACAAACAGCGCATTTTTCAATTCACCCCATCACAGAATAGTAATCAACTAACGTACTCCTTCCACATACATCAGAATTCAACCTACTTTTAGTAATTGCCATGATGGAGGTGTCCCAAGTTGGGTGACCTTTTGCAGGCTGTTGAAACGGAAGAGTAAGTGATCTGTTAGAATTAAGAACTCCAAGTTCGGCATCAGAGAAAACAGCTATCCTAGTTGTCCAGAACACAATTTATTCTGGGCATTTGATCAATCATTAACTGAGGTAATTTTAGCCAAAAAAAATCATTAATTCCCCTACCTCTTCTTCGCTCACCCCCCTCTTATTGGAAGGAAAAAAAAGAGTAGGTCATGGTAGGGGAGAAACGAAACTAAATACACTTGCATTACATGGTAAATGGAATGTTCACAACACATGAAAAAATAAGAAGATAAAGTACAATTGCCCTTTATTTTTGGGAAAAACTAGCAATGACATTAAAAAAAATGAGATTTTGCAAGTTCAGGTACAACGCAACTTGAAGATAACAATTAATCCATCTACCATGCTAGGTCATGTACTATATAACAATGGCCTTGGTCCAATTATATGAATAATTCCATAAATAACTTGCGATCGATGTGGGATGTTTCTGGAATCAAAATCTCAAGTAGAAAGCAAATCCTACAACAATCAATCAAATAAAAAAAAGACAGGAAATGTGACTGTTAGACACATATAGCATTAAAGAAGACACAGAAGTGGCATTGGGTTGTCGTCCACAGTGTTAAATCAACAAGTATGAATCAAGATTCTGTATCTGAATCTGATTCAGTATCTGATTGCAACTCTAAAGGCTTTATTCTATTCATATTGGCTTCCAGTGGAGGAAGTCCATCATCATCACTTGAGTTAGATACATTCTCCTCCTGCAGGGGACTGTGTCTATGTGAATCTGCATTAGAACTGTCTATAATAGGGGATTTGAAGATATCTGGCCTGCATTGATAGGCAGCAATAAGCAAAAGTAATAAATACCACAAAGATGAACATCAAAGAAAAAGAACAGCAGAATGTAAATTTTAGTTACATGGTGAAAATTACAAGCAGTAGTGTCTGGCATTTTGTTTGCTGAAAGAAAAAAAAGAGGGAGATCCTTTTTTAAGCTATGATCACTTTTAGAGCAACAGACCCAGTCATAAGGATGGGATAAAATTACATGGATCATCCAAAAAACAGAAAAGCTGTATTAATGTCTTCTACAAATACATTATCCACATCCATCAAGTCTAAAGCTGCGTGATGTCATTTATACTCCATTAATGGAAAGGTAAGCCAGATACAGTCCAAAGTTCACGCACAATTTCAAGAAATAACAATAAACATTTAGGCAGTGCAGTGCAGTGCCTGAAGAGATAGGGTCTGCTGCCAATAATTTCTTCAAAAACGATCATCTTCTTAAGATCTTGAAGTTCATATTCTAAAACGAATTCACCTATTGACATCCACAATTTCTACAGATTTGTAGAAGGAAAAATTTTAAAATGAACACATCAATAATAAGACCTCAATTTAGTTGTTCAATAGTTTAGGCAGCTAGTGTTAGATGCAGTGTTTGATATAAATTGAATGCACTTAGTCCATTTTAAAAGTTTATCCTTTATTTTTGAGCCAGAATATATCACAAGAGAGGATGCTAATAACACAAAAGAAAATATCTGGAGATTAATTCTTTTCAATACGAACCATTCCGGAGACTTTTGAAGCGCAAGAACTTGTTCATAGTACAGAACTTGTGTGACCATGCAACCCACTTTTCTACCGTTATCAACAGCCTCCTCCCTCCCACTCTCATCCACCACAACAAAGCTCCCTATACATTTTCGAAATCAACTTCATTGGAATTCCAAAGTTTTATCAAACAGTATGTACAAGTGCTCAACCAAACAGACAATACAAGTATAACCACTATATATATATATATAGATAGATAGATAGATAGATAGATAGATAGAACAAAACCTCTTTTAATCCACATGCTCTTCTGGAATTTAGCTGGAAACAGGGCTAGTGATCTCTCGCCTTTCGCATCCATTACCTTCACGTACAGGCATGCAATTTAAAACTTGAAAATCACACATTACACAGAGAGAGAGAGGGAGAGAGGGAGAGAGAGAGAAGGATTTATTGTACCTGAATGAGATTGGAGCCACGAAGAGCCACGAAGAGCCACGAAGAGCCACAACTTGCATAATGCTTTGGCCTTGCTGAAGATTAAAGGTCTCTTCCTCGGCCGCTCTCTTCAAATTCTTTCTTCCTCCTTTCATGGCTCTCTTCACCCAGCAGAAAACCCTAATCCTGAATCTGTGTTACTTTCCCGTCTTCTTGGTGGAGTATAAAAGCTACAAATGACAAAAGTAGCCCCCGACATGAATAATACAACAGGAAAAATTACAATTACGTCCCGTATTGTTTCAGACATTTAATGACAAAAGTAGCCCCCGACGTGAATAATACAACAAGGAAAATTACGATTACCTGCCATATTGTTTCAGACATTTTCACTGTTCTCTCTTACTTTTAAACCTACACTAAACTCTTAAAATGTGACAACACGTGTTGCAAATTATTTCTTCAGTCAAATTTAATCAATTGATGACAAAATTTGTAGAGTGAATAAAGAAGTAAATTATGATATGGATAGAATTTTCGATTGGAATTCATTAATCAAAATGTTTTAATTTTTTCTACGGGAGTATAGTTTTGACCGAAATCATTTGTATTAACATGTCTAGTTGTCCAATTATATTTATAAGGGAAAATTTTTTTGGGTCAACTTTTGATTTTTTTTTTTTTTTTACATAAGGCTAAAGTGAATATTTTAAGCCATTGATTGACTAAAACTTTTTTGGTAAATATTGATTGAATCATAGTTTTAAAACCCAGTCCGGACATTAATCTGGCAAAAAAATTGGGTCAATGGGTCACTGTTTCAACCAGGTCACTGGTTGGACCGGTAATATAATAAAAAATTAAAAAATAATTACAAATACTAATAAATAGGCTAAAAAATTACAATAATTATAAAACTAACATCAAACATGTAAAGTTAAGTAAAAAAAAATTATCAAACATGTATCAAATTTCAATGTATTCAATTTTCAATATAGCTTGTAAAATTAAATAGAGAAAAACACCTCTATTAAAGTTCAACTAAATTCAAGGTTCCAAGTTTAAGTCTAACTCTTTGACAATGCATCAATCTAAGTATAATCCATGTAATTTGTACTCTTTCAAGTTCAAACTTCAAATTCAAACTGTAGTAAGCAAGACACATGAAAACAAAACGAAACACATGAGTATAACATAAGGACTCAAATAGATAATGAACAATAAGAATCTCAAACAAGCCACAAGTTCAATACCACAATTCATAATGCTTTTAGTGCAATAAACAATCTACAAATTCACAATCTTGCAACTTATTTAAAAAGATAATAGCTTCTACAAATCAAATTGCATTACAACTAGTAAAATAATCAAACACTTAATTCAAAATTTCGCAAATCAAATAGATACAAATTAAGGACATTAGGGACCAAATAGACATATTTGATTAATTGAGATCGTCTTTCTCTTTCCAAATGAGATCTCTCAACAAATAAAAATTATTTATGATTACTACTTGACTCCTTATCTTGTCTTTACAAAAGTCCCAACCTAAGTGATGAAGAACTTTCCTAGAAAGATAGAGCCACCGCTGCCTTAACTAGGGTAAATTAGAAACAACTACTAAGTTTTCCAGGAAAATAAGAAAAGGAAAAAGTGAGATAGATAAAGAGTGTTTTCTATGGTGGAGTCAATAGTCAAGGCATCCCATACCACGTTCACACTAATTTAAATTAGAAGAAGCCTAACATTTTTTTCACAAACTACCACATTACTAATATTTTAATTTCTTCAGTCTAGCTAAAAAAGGTTGATGATTCGTGGCAATTACAGCACAAATATATAGGAAAAGCAACAAAACGTTGGTGGACCTTGCTATTCGATGCAAGTTGATGATGGTCAGTCGGTAGAGGACTTGATGGTCACTCCGTGGAGTCTGATCTAATGGATAGAGGACACAATTAGACCACTAGTGCTGGCTAGAGGGTGGATTGGAGTCGATGCTACCTGCGTGTTGTTGGAGGTTGGATTGGGTCACTGGAGTCGCTATTGCGTGCTAGGGGTGGAGGCTGGACTGGGTCATTGGAGTCGCTGCCTGTCGGGGGTGGAGGTTGGAGTCACTTGTGAGAGGTAGCCGTTGATTTAGTCTAGTCTGTCTGAAGCGATATAGGGCAAAACAAAAGGGCAAAAACACAAAAATGCCAAAAAAGTGCAAAAAAATCCGAGATTTATACGAATTTAATTAAAATATTTGCAAAAAAAAATTAAACAACAACAAAGGATAAAAATTTAAAAAAATTAAAAATATTTGTATGAAAAAATTAAAAAAATTGCATGCAAAACATTAACAAATCTACAAGATTTTTTTTTACTAACTTAGGTAGTGATCGATCACCGTAGAGAATGAGTTGAAAAATAATGAGCGGCTTCAGTTCCCTATCTCTTCTTGTAACACCGGATCATTTTTGACCTTCAACAACAACAAAAGATATGGTATATATAGTGGGAAAAGAGTTGAGTGCATTTTAATATATTTATATTAGAAATTGTAGTTTTGACATTTTTAAAAAATTTATAGTCAAACCGTTATTTTTTTGTACTGAAAGAGTTAAAAATTACTATTATAGGTGTCTTTGATTTGAAAGTATAAATTAGAAAGGAATGCTATGAAGTTTCAGAATTGGGAGAAAATGTTATTGAATTTAGACCTAACTAAAAGGAGTGTAAATAAAATTTTTCTTTTTAACTATGATTATTAATTTCAAACTCTTAATGATTAACACACCTTAAAAGTTTGACGAAATGTTATTTTACTTTACATCCAAATTATGTGATTTTATTTTATTCTGACGTGTTCACATTTTTCTTTTAAAAGATGACAGGTGTTTGCCTAATGTGAAACCAATTAAATAGTTAAGGGTTCAACATGAGAATTTAATAATTTTAGAAACACCGTGACACAAATCTCATAGTTTGAGGGGATAAAGTGTAATTGACCGGTAACAAAATTGAACGGTAATTTTCAATTTATGCTCATAATTTTCTTTAGGTCCATAAAGTTTCAATTGATACAATTACATCCTAAAAATTTTAACTGACTTTTAATTCGGTCATTTCCTCAAGATCTATTAATTTATTATTTTAGAAAGTAGAGGTGACAAATTGGTGGGTTGAGTTGGTTATGAGTTAGGTTAAGATAGATTGGGTTAAAATAAATCAAATCAATTTTTACTTATGTAGTAAATGAGTTATAATGAGTTGGGTTAAACTGATTAACCCATAAAATAATTAAATTCTTAATGAACACATTAGTACATTAAAATATACACACATTAGTAGTACACCAAAATACAAATATACACACACATTAGTAATACACCAAAATACAAACATACACACACACTAATACCCTAAAACACACACAAATTAATACACTAAAAATATACACTAATACACCAAAAGTACACACATATATACTAATATAAAAACTAAAATACATTTAATAAAAAAAAATACACAAATAATGTGTCGGGGGTAATTGTGGGTTATGGGTTATGTGTCAACCCATAGGGGTCGTGGGTCAATCTATGGGTTATGGGTTGACCACGAGTCATGGGTCGACCCATGAGATTGTGGGTAGACTGTTAGTCAAACGAGCACTAGTCGAGTTCGAGACAAGCTTGAAAAGCTTATTTTTTAATCGAACTTTGAAAATTACTCAAGTTTGACTCGTTTAAGAAATAAGCCGAGCCTGAACGAGTCGCACTCAAGTCAAGTTTGAGTAGCTGAGTTTGATTAACAGTTCTAGTCGTGGGTGGTGTATTAGTGTGTGTTTTTTGTGTACTAGTGTGCATATTTTGATGTATTAGTATATGTGTGTGTATTTTTGGGTGTAATAGTGTGTGTATTTTTTGGTATATTAGTATATTTATTTAATTTTATTACTTGTGTTGTATAATAAAAAGATAAATACTCAACCCAATGGGAACCCATTTGTAATCTATATTAACCCGCTTAATTAAAATAAATGATATTACCCAACCTATTTAGAACTTATATTAATTAATATAAGTACCAAACTCATTAATTTATGGACAGATTGATTAAATTAATGAATAATATGTTAAAATTACCAAATCTAATAGAAATATATCACTGAACTTGTCCATATAGGTATTTTGTCCAACAAAAAATATATTATATTTCAAATACATCGATTTCTCTCTTTTTACCTAAGTTATATGTTGGTCACGGAATACCATTACATAATAATAAATTAGTGAATTTTGATGTAAACACTAAATTGAAACTCAGTTAAGACTCATATTTTAAGGGTGTGAAGTGTAATTTTCCCAAAACTAAAACCCATGACCAATGTGATAAGCACGTGCGCGGCTTCATATAAGTATCCAACTTCTCTTCTACAGGTCGTAAACCCTAGATCGGCAGTTCGTTTAGCAGGTCTCTCTCTCTCTCTCTCTGTAAATTAAGTTGGTAATTGCTAAATTCTGGGTTAGATATGGATTTGTATGCTTGAGGGGCTACATTGAAAGCTCTTTTTGTCATATTTGCTTCATTTGATGCAGGTAAATAGCGGGGCATAGTAGGATTTAGAGGTTCTCTGCTCAACAATGGCTGCCGCTAAAAGTATGTACTTGGCCACCTTCATTGTTTACTATATATATATGAAACACTAAACTGACATTCTTGTTTTATTGAAACTATAGCTGTTCTGCTTCTTTTTTTTCCTGCAATTATCTGTTTTGGTTGAGGCATTTTCTGATAAAATTGTTTCATTGGAAAGATTCAATCAGCCATATTTGTATTCATGCCTTTCTTTCTTTCTTTCTTTCTTTGTGTGCTAGGTGGATTCATGCGTTTCGAGAATAGCTTATGAAGTGTTATTATTGTCCTCTGTTACTTAAATTTTTCTGAACTTTGGTGGTGGCCAATTGAATAGTAACAGGGAAATTTAAAAACTGGAAAGAAAACCGATTGACAGTAATTGATTGTGACCAGGAACAGCCAATGGCTTGCAATGAAAACAAGTGTCAGACTCTGTTCACTAGAAGCTGATTAAATTTGGTTACCATATTGTTTCTTTGGAGAAATTTATCTTTTTCAGCAAAATCCCCAAAAGAAGCAAGAATTACTTCCTAAATTGTTGAATTTATGTTTAAACTGAGAAACCCGCTACCAAATCAATTGTTGTGATACCAAAAATCTAGGATACACTTCCTCAGGTTACACAGCTGTTTGATCAGTACCATGTGTAAGAAGATATACCCCATATACCAAGTCTTCTTCTGATGCTTGGAGATGACTTAGTGAGAGAATGGTGCGTGGTAGTACAGAAGTAAGATCTGAGGAGGTTAGGATACTGATGATGGATAGTAGCAAACCATTTTTCATCTAGGTTCCTATTGGCAGAGAGCTATTCACCTGGCCTTGGGCAATTGGGTTGCATATTCTATATGTAGGTGATTGTCTATGAACACTAGATCATGGGTTGTAGGTCCACTCATAACCACATAACTTTGTTATCCATAATGCATGATGGGCTGGAACTTGATCCATTTGATTTCCCCAATTGCATGCTGGTGCATGGCAGCCCCTCATATTGTCTGAACTGGCATGGTTTGCACACTTTTTTCATTTTGTTATCACTACTGAAGATGTTTTGTCCATATGCAGCGGACCCCACAAAAAAGTCAGACCCACCAAAAAGTCGGACCCTAAGGCTCAGGCCTTGAAAACCGCCAAGGCTGTGAAATCAGGTTCATCAACCTTCAAGAAGAAGGCCAAGAAGATACGTACTAAAGTTACATTTTACCGACCAAAGACATTGAAGAAGGATAGGAATCCCAAGTACCCTCGCATTAGTGCACCCCCAAGAAACAAGCTTGATCAGTACCAGATCCTAAAGTATCCTCTCACTACTGAATCGGCAATGAAGAAGATTGAAGACAACAACACCCTTGTTTTCATTGTTGACATCCGTGCTGACAAAAAGAAGATAAAGGATGCAGTCAAGAAGATGTATGACATTCAGACCAAGAAAGTCAATACCTTAATCAGGTAATATGTAACTTTCACATTCTCCTCCTGTATTTTGAACATGTTCCTAAATCTACTTTCGGGCAAGTTTTGATGTGGTGGGAAAAGAAGGCAATTAGTTGCGTCACTGATGCGCTTTGCCCTATATTTGGGGTAGTGTACTCAGCTCTTGTCAATGATATGTGTCCGATGGATGCGTGCATTATATGCTTGCATCTGCTGGTTTTGCATACGGCCAGTCCACTAATGTGCTTTTATATTTCTATAATATCTTATCAAGTCAAAAAATAATATAAAAGAAGGTCTTATGCCTTCAATAAGTCATATATGTAACTAAGCATTTTTGCCAAAATCTTTGAGGCCCACATTATTGAAAGATGACATTTCACATGCTTAGTGAAGTAATTTCTCATAATTCCTAGATGGCCTATTCTTATGCAAATATCTCTGCTGTGCTGCATATAAATAATCATCTGGATGGCTTGAATATGGGCATGAGCTTTGTGCTGTCAAATGACATGCCAAATAAAATCATTCCATTCTTCTGTTTAATATCTTATCTAACGTTTCTTCTTGTTTTTTGTACATTTGATATTCTTTTTAAATTTATATTTCCCTTGTGGTGGCTAAGTTATGCATTTATCTACGGTGGTTCTATCTTTCACGGGTGAAAAATTTACTCTGCGCGTCTTATTAGGATTTTCTCAACTTGTATGCTTTTGCTGACTTATATCATTCTGTTTCTTTTACAGGCCTGATGGGACTAAAAAAGCTTATGTTAGGTTGACTCCTGATTACGATGCTTTGGATGTGGCAAACAAAATTGGGATAATTTAAGATACTAGCTTACCCTTCAGATTTCAGTTGTATTTTTGTGTCGTAGTTTGGTTGAAATTGTTGCTTTTGGCGGCGATTGTCAACTGACAAATGTTACGCCATCACATTTGCTCCAAGACTGTTGAGTTAAGAAATTCTACTTCATTTTGACTTTGATAATTCTATATTGCCATCGACGGGTTAACATTTTCAGTGTGTGGGGCATCAATATTTTTAATCGTGTAGCTCATTGTATCAATATGGTGTTTTAGAAGGAGCATAATTTGTTCTATTTTTGGCCTATGTTTTACCTAGATATTTAGAAGGTTCTTCTCTGCGAAAACAAGCTCAGTTAAGATTAGTTGAGCGACAGGTTACACTAGAGGTTCGTTTGGTTGTCCTATTAAAAATAGATGGATAAGATAAAGTAATATAGTCTAATATAATACAGATGGATTAAAGACAAGATTAAATATTGTATTAGAATAATACATAATTTTATCTAGTATTTAACAATACACAATATAAGTATTAGATTGTAATTATTTAATCTAATCGATTGTTTGGTTAGAAAATTATTTTATCGTATTAATGTTGAATTAATAAAAATATTTTTAATTAGTGTTTGTTACATTGATGATAATTTGATTTTATCACTTGGGAGGTTATAATAGTAAATATATAGAATAATACGTTTAAGTTAGATTATAATATAATCTTTCTTGGTGGTATTAAAAAATTTCTATAATACAGGTCTATCGTATAAAACATATACGATAAGTACAAGATTAGTATATGTTTTTGAAATTAATGCGGTATCAAATTTACTTACCAAACAAAGTATCAGACTCGATTAAATAAAAAATAATACAATCTAATATTTAATCTCCTCATAATACGTCTACCAAATGAGTCCTAGATGTAATTTAACTAATTGGCATGTTAGACCAACTCCAACAATGTTATCTAAAATAGTTACTCAAAATATATTTAAATATTATATTATCTACGTTAGGTTACCACTTTTTCAAATTTATTCCAATCACACTATCTATTTTATCTAACCACTTTAACTAACTTTAATTAACTATTAATTATTAAAATCTAAAATACTATGTCATGTCATCACCATATTGATGACATCACATGCTGACGTGTTACGCCATGTCATCAAAATTTTAAAATTTTGATTTTTATTAATAATGGTCATATTTACAATGGTCATGAAATTCAAAATTTAAAATTTGAATTTTTCAACAGTCATATTAATAACGACATATTTACAATGGTCACGAAATTCAAAATTTTAAAATTTAAATTTTTCAATGGTCATATTTGTAACGGTCATATTTACAACAATCATATTTGTAACAGTCATATTTTTGGATATGTATAAATATGATCTTCCATCTCTCATTGTTATACACCTCAAATTTATTTATTGGCATTGCACTCTTCTTTGTGTTTATATTATGACTCGTCATCCTGTAATAAAGATGATTCTTAATGATTCTAACTCCGATGATGAATTAGATATAGTAACAATTTGTACTGCAAAAATGAATAAACTCAATAGCGATGAAAGCTCTGGTGTACGTCGTGGTTCCATTCAAAGTCATTCAGTTATTTTTTGCAATCTAGTTTAAGGGCATGAAAGACTGTATCGTGATTATTTTGTTGAACCGCATATCTATTCCCCAAATTTATTTTGAAGAAGGTTTCGAATGAATCAAGCCATTTTCCTTTGTATTCTATTCATGGTGGAAGATTATGATTCATATTTTGTCCAAAAAAAAATGTTGTTGGAATTACTGGCTTGTCTTCCCTTTAAAAGATGACAGCTGTCATAAGGATGCTTGCTTATAGAGTTGTAGCAGATGTTGTTGATGATTATGTGAAGATTGGCGAAAGCACCGCAATAGAAAATTTGAAAAGATTTGTGAGGGCGGTAGTAGCAATTTTTTCCGAAGAATATCTCAGGTCACCAAACAACGATAACATTGCTAGATTATTAGCAATGAGTACCAATCTGTGGGTTTCTTGAGATGTAGGGTAACATTGATTGTATGTATTGAAAATAGAAGAATTATCCAACAACAAGAAAAAATATGTATTCTAGTCACGTCTATGAACTAACAATTATTTTGGAGGCGGCGACTTCATATGATCTCTGGTTTTGACATGCATTTTTTAGGTTACTTGGATCTCATAATGATATCAACGTACTAGAACGCTCTTCTGTTTTTACTCTCTTTTCAAAAGGTTATGCTCCTTTAGTCAATTTCTCAGTCAACAAAAACGATTTATAATGAGATATTACCTTATTGAAGGTATATATCTAAAATGAGCAATATTTGTCAAAACAATTCCATCTCCAAGAGGCAATGAGCAAATACATTTTACAAAATCTCAAGAGTCAACAAGAAAGGATGTTGAGTGAGCATTTGGAGTGTTCCAAACATGATTTGCTATAGGTGGTGTTTGGATAGTGGGTTAAAGGTGGTTATATCCATTAGTTGGATGAGACAAAATAAGTGTGGGACCCAGATAACCTTTGTTTGGGAAATCATTTTTGAGATTGGATACAAATCTCGAGTCAAGGCTTGACCCAGTTTTTACAATACCACTTAACCCCTCCTACACCGGTTACACTTAACCCACCCCTCCCATGGGTTACAAACCCAGGCAAGAGGATAACCCCACCCAAGACATATTTGTCCCCCATATCTTACCCTCTCTCTTCTCTTGTTAACCAAAGCGTGAAGGAGCTGAGCTCGTTTCATTGCAAGCTGAGCTCGTCCAAGACCAGTTGCACAGGGGCGAGGAAGAAGATGCCAAGGTCCTCCAACTTTCTATTTCGAGTGGTTGACGATATCGTTGAATTAAGGTAAGTTTCTTGGTCTATCTCTATGTCGATCTCTTTCTCTTTCTCTCTCTACGGACATATTTAGATCTGGATCTGAGTTTGACGAATAAATTTAGATCTTTACTGATCTAGATCTTAATAGATTTGCGACGAACAGATCTGTTGCCTTCATGGTCTAGATTAAAACTATTTTGCGGAATATGTGCTGGCAGATTAGGCATGTGTTCAGATAAGCTAGTGGGTGTTGCTGATTGTTTGGCTAACATAGCTATAAAGGATAGATTTTCTTCTGATTTTTCTGTTGCAGGTCGAACTCCTAGGCCTGTTAAGCTGGTATTAAGGCAAGATCAACAAAGACTTCCTATGTTGTAAACTAAGCAAATTTTAATTTTTGATGACAAGGGCTAATAGGCCATGAGAAGAGCTAGTTGGTTGCTATGTAAGTTGCTGCATGTTTGGGATTTGGTAGAGCCGATCTTCATGAAAGGATGCAGATTGGTCAAGCCTTAGAAGAAGTTCTTGTTTTTTTGTTATATTTTGAAGGATTAAAGTCATTATTTTGGCAATGATCGTTAGGGAATTGTTCCCTTTTGCATCTTGCAGTTCTTTGAGGTTTATTCAATAAATTTCGTGACACCGTTGAGGTTTTAATTAAAAAAAAATATGTAACTATTATGTATTACTCGTATGTTAATATACTTCTTTGAGATTGATATAATATAGGGTTGCTAGCAACACATTACTACATAGTTGGAGTTGTTTTTTTATACTCAATTATTTGAATCTAATATACATGATCTACCCTTATATTAATTATTAGCTTTTTTTTTAAAAAAATATTATTTTATTTTTATATGTTTTTATGTATATGTGAAAAATATATAATTTTATAACGATAATCCAATATTCCAAAGATAGAATTGGTTTAGATTAGAATTGATAGAATTATGGGTATAATGATAAATTACTACAAAATTATTTGTATAATCTGTGGGATCCACTAAATTACATATTTGTTTCCCAAACAAAACAAATGTTAGGATTGTATATATTCTAAAGTTATGGTTTTAAAGTGAATGAGTGAGTTTAGTTTGGATATGTTAGAATATAAAAAATTAAATCTTATCCTATCCAACCTAGTTATCCAAACACACCCATAGTGCGTGGACCAACATATTTTTGGACACTTGAAGTGCTTAAGGATATTATGAAGGCTTGTATAATATTACATAACATGATTGTCGAAAATGAGTGGAACGCCAATGAATTGAACTTTAGTTATGATACAATGAATGAGAGTCCCACTGGCACAGTTATCCTTGAGCGGAGTTCAAAACTGCTCCAATTTATTAATACTCAACATTACATTAGAGGCAAAGAAATTCATTCCAAACTCCAAGCTGATCTAGTCGAGCATCAGAGGAATATGCATAAAAACTACTCGGCACTACTTAAGTAAATATTATTACAGTACTTATAGCATCATTACTACTACTTAAAGTTGTTTGTCTATTAATAAAAAAAAACTACATCTTCTTCCCCAAAATTTTCATTTGGTGGCATTGAAAATATTCAACTTGCAACGGAAGCATGCAACTCGTATCCATCGACATTATTCGCTCTTCATTTCTTAGTTGCTCCATTTGCATTCTCTCTTTCTCTTGCAGTAGACGTTGCTGTTCTTGAAAATAACATTTTTTAAACATTTCAAATTTCTTCTAATTCATTACCTTTCTATCTTCCTTCATCTTTGCTAACAGATTAACGAGTTCATAACTTGTTGCATCACCTCCAACTTCTTTGTTCTTTGATTTTTGTAGTCGTGCTTTCTCAGCTTGCCTTTCAGGTGGCCTGTCTAAGGATCCATAGGACCCACTGTCATCTCTTAACTTTACAGATTGCTGTAGAACGCACGGAGCTGCAAGGAGTTGCATTATGTTTTGTTTTTTGCTTCTTTGCTTGAGAATCTTCCATCCATTTTGGTTGATACTTTAACTGATTCCAACAATGTTCAAACTGAAAAGAAGATTTATAGAGTTCCTTGTACAAGTTCTTGATATCACGAATCTGAAAAATTTTACAATAAAACTAATTATCATGTCATTAAAAGTACACTATTTTGTAAGAAAAGATTCACTCATACCTTATCTTTCTTTATCAAACCACTTTGATTCACTCTTTCTATCTATGCAAAGTACCCACAAAATTTATTGGTGGCTAGCAGAATTGCTGACCAACGATTCATCAAAAAAATTTGACTACGAATAGGACATGCCTTAGGTTTGTTTTCGTGGAAGGACTCGTAAACCCTTTGTCAATATGTCTTTGATTTTTGCTTATTTCTTTGCACAACATCTACACTAATATTAAGCCAAACCGAGATTATCATAATGTCTTCTTCTACTGTAAAATTGTCACCTCGTTTTTTGGTGGTGAATTCTAATTGAGGAGATATTGATAAAGATTGACCTCCAAGCTCATCATCCATGTTTGTTCCATCATTCATGAGATTGGTGAAGTAAGCATCATGTTGGAATGGTTTCATAAGTAATGCCTATAATTCAATATGGCCACCATGGTAGAATTAACAAACTTTAGAATATCAAAATTTAGAATTAACAAACTTTGGCTACCATGGTTTCATGAGTAATGCCTCTAATTCATCTAAATTAATTTCTGCCATTGGAAAGTGGGGGTAACTGTTTTTGAAGAAGCTAAAAAACATATCAAGAACAAGAATGAAGTCACATACAAAAAGAGGAATTCAGGGAAGTAAAGGGTATAAACAAAAGGAAGCAGCAAATATAAAAAGACATCAAGGGACAACTATGGTTCCTTTTGTAGAAATTTTTTATCAGCAATATGGGTATAACACTAAAAAGTTCTACCTACCATACATAAAAAAAAAGAAGTCATAACCTAGTTTGGTTCTCCTTAATAACGGGTACTGGGAGCTGAACACTGAGTACTGAGAAATGATCACCAAATAATATTTTCTTACACATCATTTTGATGGGTAATTGCCTAGAAATAATCCAAATAATCACCAATTACCATATATACATGGTTTAATAGAGTCATTCCTTCTCAAGTGAGTTCTTTCTATGAATATAAAGAAATATAAAAAATTGCTATCCCCAAGCTCACAAAAATAACTCTCCGGTCAACAAATCCCAAAAATGAGTATTCCACAAGCATTTACCTGTTAATCCACAGATGCCATTTTTATCTGCTTATTTTGGGACATAATGCAAGTACTACTTATAAATTGCTGGGATATTATTGGTGCTTGTTGCATACCTTATATTTGCTTCTCGATCATGTAAATTTGGTAGCAATAGATTTCATGATGCAGCTGGTCTGTTATTCTTTCTGATCTCACTTGATTTTGCTTATTTTGCTATTTTTAGTTGATCACTGTTGCTTATTCATTGCTTCTATTCATCGGAGTTTTCCTAGTGGTTTCTAGGTTGATAATTGTTGTCTAATCACTTCTGCTTCATTACTTATTTTTTTATGTGACACCAGTTTGTTTGCCTCTTCTTGTTTTGCACATACAATTCTGTTTGTCATCTCTTCGTGAAACATTTCCAAAATTTTCAAAACAAAGGCAAATTATGTGTAAGAAAAGAATTTGCAGGCAATTACCCATCAGAAATAATCACCAATTACCCAATCAGTTAAATTCATGAAGCAGACAAAAAATTAAACTTAGGCAAAATAATCACGAAGCAAATACCACATAAAACAAACTCTGAATCTCAGGAGCCAAATAATATCACTAACCCCAACTATTCAGCAGGAAATTCCCCAAAACCAACAACCGAAAGAGCTGAGTCAAAACTACCCCCACCGCCAACTACCCTCCAGATAATTTCAAGAAAATTGAACAAATTGATGCACATAAAACCTTCATATGTAGGGAATGAACCAAAACAGCTCGAACCCACCTCCAAAATCGTCAATCGAAACCAGTTGTGATCAAGAGTTTCTGTGAGAGAGAGAGAGAGACAGAGCATACCTGCGGAATGAAGCTTGTGCGATGATGAAGACGATGGAGCTTCTGTGGACTGATCTGAGCTTCAGTGGAGCGACGATTTTGGCACAAAAAATGTAATTTGTTGATGAACTAGCTACTCGCTCGGGGGATCGCCAGATGCAGCGAGCAAATATCGGGTTATGGAAAATACCGTTAGCCCGTTGGAGCTAAAATTTCTGGCTATTTAAAATAGCTAAATTCCCCTTTACATAGTTCTTTGGAGTTGCTATTACATATCCAAATAGGCAGCAAGTTGTTAGTCATTATAGAGGCTCAAAACTAGCTTCTTGGAAGATGCCTAGGTGAAACCATCACGGATGATCAGCATTTTCACTCCCAATTGGGGTTCATATCTAGGCGCGACCCATCCCCCGAAGAAGCCAACATAAATCTAACCCGAATAAAAAAGAAAAGAAAAGAAAGGCCGTTTCATTATGGTGGTATCCCAGCCGGAAACTTTCAGTTCCAATCAGAACATGTAGATCTATAAATAGATTTGTATGTGTAGCCATTTTAGTCGTGTTCGTCGTTTCTCGAAAGTGTGCATGGGTCAGGTTTTTTAGCTGGGTCTACACCAATAAGTTCTTCAATGCATGGTATGCGGGTCTGTGTATCTGATCATTTTCTTCCATAAGCATGATTCGTTTGCAAAATGTAAAAAATTTGCAATCATACGATGCCATTGCATGCCAAATATTAGGCCGGTCAATTGTGTCGAATGAAACATGTTCATATAAAAAAAAAAATTCAACTATACTCAATTCGTTTATTAATTCGTGTCTAACAAATCATATCATATTATGTTTATGTCGTGGATGAATCGTGTATAACTAATATATAAATAAGTCGTTCTATATTTTTCTTTTTGTTGACTTCACTCATATTTGATCAATTTATTAATCATATTGGATCCACTCATTTACAAAACAGGTGACTTAAAAAAGATTCGATCTTTATAATCTCATGTCGTGTTATATTTTGACATTCTTTCTAAATATTGCTTAGAAGTCCGAACACACGGTCCCAACTCCAAACAAGAAAGGTGAAGTTTACCTTCAAGGATTTAGATTTCAATCAGATCCTGTTTCAAAACATGTTGTTATTGCTATTTGCGAGAGAATATTGTTTTTGAATCCTAGTGCCCAGAGTTGGTGATAATAATGGATCCGTTAATAATCATTCACTTAAATATTTCGTGTTTACACTTCTTCGACTCCAAAGAACATCACTTGGATGGCTGACCAGCTTTGAATGACAAAAACCATAAAAATCCACCAGCACAGGACTGCACTGGGTACTTCTGGTAATGTGTTTCTCCTTATACTTACGTGAAGGTCAACTAGATTGAGACAGCCCGAAGGGAAGTTTTTATCAATTAGCAGTTCTTCATATATCTCTATCAATTTGCGTTTCTATCGTGTATCTCTGGCAAGTCCGTTTGGTATGGGGTGGTGGAACCTGATAATCGGCTGCTCTTTCCCATGCTTCGCCATATACTTCATATGAATTGCTGAAGGTCTTTGGAGCTACGAAAACGGTGCCAACGGCGTTTCATAGGCATTGCAACCATTGTTCCTCAATTTCCCCAAGTGTGCTCATTTTGCTTCTCTACTCAACTCATCTTGGCTAACTTTGCCAGGCATCCCAAGCAAATAGCAATGTAGGATTGATATTGAGCCAACTGAGCTGATCTCAAAGCTTCTGAACAAACTGCATGAGGGAATGCGAAAAAATATAAGTTCAGCTATCTGAGCATGTTTTATATCCATCCCAATAAGTTCAATCTGTTCTTAAATAGAATTGATCTCAAAGTTGGATTCATGATTCTGTAAGGATATCAGTAGATTGGCTCCCATCGAATGTTCAATGAAAAATCCCAAGACCACATAAATCTCATCTTTTTGGTCATGCCTCTTGTCCGAAGTGACAAAGACATGAATTTTGCTTTTGATTTCAATCCAACTGCACCCGGGAGTCCTCTTCATTCCTTTCTCCTTCATCTCTTGCCTTACCATTGACACGCTCTGCCATCTTCCTGCTGCAGAATGTGCATTCGACAGCATTACATAAGACGATACATCACCAGGATCCAAAGCCAGAATTTTTCTTGCAGCAAATCCACCCAACTCCATGTTTGAATGGATCTGGCAACCTCCAAGCAATGCCTTCCAAAAGCCAATTCCCGGATCAAAAGGCAAATCACAGATAAATTTCTCTGCTTCCCTGAACCTCCCTGAGCGAGAGAGCAAATCAACCATACAAGCATAGTGCTCGGATTTTAGTATACTAGGGTCCTCAAGTCTCGCTTGATTGAAATATGACAAGCCCTCATCAACAAGACCAACATGATTACAAGCCAACAATACACCAAGAAGAGTAACACTATTAGGTTTAAGACCTGTGAATAACATTTTTCGGTAGAAATCTATGGCTTCCTTTCCTTTCCCATTTTGTGCATAACCACATATCAAAGCGTTCCACGAGACAACATTTCGTTCGGGAATTTTATCGAACACCAAGAGACTATCTTCCATACTTCCACATTTTGCATAAAGGCTGATTAGAGCATTGTCAAGAAACACACTAAGCTCACCCAAGAACTTAATAGCACAAGCATGAAAACTCTTCCCCATTCCAAGCGCTGCAATATTGGCAGCTCCAGTGATAGCACAAGGAAAAGTAGACTGAGTAGGCACGACACCTTCCCTCAACATGTCAATGAAAAGATTCAATGCCTCTTCGTTATGGCCCGTCTGGCTATACCCACAAATCAACGCATTCCATGAAACAACGTTTCGTTCAGGCATCGTTCTAAAAACCCCCAGAGCATCGTCAAACCTCTGTTTCTTGAGGTACCCACAAATCAAAGTTGTGTAAGAAACCACATTCGGTTGGTGGGTATCTCCCAAAGCTCTTTGTGCTTCCTCTATGGTGCTCAACTTGGCATAAATATCCAAAATTGCACTGCCCACAAACACATTTGATTCGAGGCTTGTCTTCATTGCACAAGCGTGAATTTGCTTGCCTAAATTGAGGTCTTTTAGAGATGTGGAAGAGTGAACTAACGTACCAAATGTGAACTCATTAGGTCTGATATTCAAATGAAGCATTCTTGAGAAGAAATAGATGGCTTCTTTGTGATGTTGGTGTCTTGCAAAGTGACCTATCAGTCTTGTGGCCGATACTACATCCCATTTGGGCCATTCATCAAAAGATTGATGAGCGTGTGAAAATGCGCCAGATTGACAGTAACAACTGACAAGGTTTGATTCAACAACTGAGATTCCAAGTTTTAGGGTACGTGAATGAGATTTCTGGGTTCCAATGAGATTGTCATAAGCTAAGGTATGAGCTTTACTGTGGGATTTGAAGTTGGGTAGAGCAAGAAAATGTCGGCATGTTTTGGTTTTCATGTGTGATGGTGTGGCTATTGGGCCATTTGATACTCTTATGGTCTTATGATGAAATGGCTTTTTTTTTATAGCAAGAAGAGCTTTTTCTTTTCGCCCGCAATCCCCCCCCCCCCAAAAAAAAAAAATAGGTAGAAAATGAGAAGAAGTCAACAAAATTTGACCTTTAAATGATAATTTTATTATTTTATCTTTTGTTACTTTTAATAAAATCCACTTCTCAAAATAACAAACAAAACCCACTTCTCCATGGGCAACGACACACCCATCTCAGACAACGACAACTAGACGACGAACTCGATCGGTAAAATCAACGGTTTTTAGATTAGATTTTCAACTACTTCAGACCAAAGTTGTCATCCTCCGAATTTTTTTCTATAAATTTTTCTGATAACTGTAAGACAGAGTGTTTTCCTTCATCAATGCCTTTTTTGGACCTTATATATATGAACACACGATGAAATTATACATATATTGGTGTATATATGTGGGTATATTTATATACGTATTTGGATGTGTAAGTCTTTCAAATGAGTTTTGTATCTCTTAAAAAAATTAACAAAAAAAATAATAATTTTAAGAAATGAAATCAGGTAGAAGAAAATGAAAAAAGAATTTTCTGGCAAACAAAAAAAAAAAAAAAAAAGAAGAGCAGAACTGGGCGTCGTCAAATAGAAGAAGATAGAGTTGTTGGCTTAAATTCAGAAATTGCCCCCTTTAGAGATACAACATATACCTACTTATTGAAATTATAAAGGTAAGTCCAAGATTTTGTTAAGTTACAAAAAATTCCCTTTTGTGTTTCATGAGTAACAAATAAGTACCTGTTGAAATTACACAATGACCCCAGAAGATAATAAAACACTAAATCAATATCTTTAATAGTTAGGAAATATTTCTGAAATTGTATATTGACCCCGAACAGTTATGAGATTGTTTTAGAGATTATAAAATTATACCATATCGCTAGATTATGTGTTTAGAGATTATCTAAATATCCCGAAAGTTTCTAAAACTCAAAATATAGAAGCTATCATAAATTGTTAGCTCTTTAGGAGTATATTCTTAGGTGATATATATATACATATATTGTAAACTCTTTTTGGTTCAATACCATTTTAACTATTGTTGTTGTTCAATACTTAATTTCATTTGTTGGTTTTTTATACCTATTTTTTTTTGTCCGTTGTGTTATTACTTCACCATCATTCATTTTTATTCTTGCTTCTTAGCACCAATGTCCATTTGTTGATTATTTTGTGTTCAAATTCAATGTTCGATTTTTTTTAGTTGCATCGTGCCTTTAGGCACGAGTTATCCCTAGTATATATCTATATATATGGGATAACACATCTTTACCTGATCTTAGCAAGAGATTGTAAGATTCTTTGTTTGGTATATTTATCAAATGTTAGATTAAACTATAATATTGCATACTTTGGGTAATCGGTTTAGATTTGAGTCTTTTGACATTATTGGTACCTTACTAAAGTTTCAAGTAATTATGTGCTGTGTTGATATTGTGATGAATTGAATCGTGAAGTTCATGGCTATTAATTACTTGGGTATTGATTTGTGAAGTTCATGGCTATTACCTTCCTTGAGGTTTCAATTAATTTTTTTTGTTTCCGTTGGCTTAATGTTATCTATAGTTTTGTTGAGAAGACTTACTGGCTTTTTGCAAAGAAAATTGCAATTGGTTTGCGTTCTTGCCTAGTTTATCCATATTAACTTTTCTAAAGTAATTGGTTGTGGGTATTCTTAGATTAACTGGTACTTTTACATTGCTATGGTGCATTGTCTTGTGACTAGTTTCTTGAACAACTAAATGATCTAGATAGCTTTTGAAATGTGTATCTACTTACTATATGTATGCATTTTGGATGATACATGTTGATAATCAGGTTTTTTTGTGCTAATATTAGCATAAGCATGAACCTTATAATGTAGTTGATATTTTGCAAAGTACTCTTCAGCTGGACTGTTCATGTTACTATTCATTACACATTCAGTTGGTTTCTTTTAGCTCATGCCTAGGATTTCGTCATTCTGTCAGCTTATTTTCTTCTCCTTTACCTACTAATTCAAGTTGGAATTTTGTGATCCTTTTCCAGATAGGAGTCTTTTTGATGTGGGTGAGTCACTTTTCACATCACTTGGACTGGTTCAGCTGGGTTCCAACTGAGGCTTTCAGCAATTTGTTCCAACTTGGAGATCTAGGCAACAAAGTTTTTTTTATGCAGTTGTGGTGGAGTTCCAACTGTCTGTAGGCTGCTTTGGTCTGAAGTACACTGTTCACATGGCTATTCAGTTGCTGCTGTTGTTGGATTTCTTTCGGTTGATCTCTTCGTTTTTTGTATTTTGATGGACTCTTTCAACTGAACTCTTGCTTCATATGGATTCTTTTAAATTGCTGGAATTCGATCATTTTTTTCAGCTGATTGATGACTTGTGCTAGGAGTCTATCACCTAGATTCAAACGCCTTCGAACAGCTTCAAGTATATAGGTGTCTATACCTTTGGAGAATTTTAGGAATTAAGCTTTTAAATTTTTACTTAATTTAATTCCATGTAATTATCATGCATTAGAATTTTATTTCTTTTTAATTTAATTCCATGTAATTATCATGCATTAGAATTTTATTTCTTTCATTATTGTAATTAGATTGCATTGAGGGGTAAGGTACATACGTCTTCCTTGGCTAAGTGTAATTTAATATTTTAATCAATAAAATCTACTCGCACTGTCGAAGTTCTCCAAAAAAAAAAAATGTAGTTGGTGACTTTTTGTAAGAAGATTTCATGTAGGTTAATTGTCTTTTGCTAATTATTTTTTTACTGACACACAAAAAACACACAAAACGACTTCATATATTTAAAGGATAGAATTGTAAAATTGGGTATGTATGATTTTCTTTTCCTTTCATTTTTCATTTAATACCAAACGATTGAAAATATATTTCTTCTATTTTTCATCTCTTCTACCAAACAAAAAGGAGGGAAAATAATTTTCTTTCCTTCATGGATGAAAAGTTTATTCCTTCCACTTTTTTCTTTCTTCCTACTTTCTATCCTTCGTACTAAACGGACCATTAGGGTGCGTTTGGTAACGTTTTCATTTTTATGTTTTTTTTTATAAAAAAACAGAACTAAGTTTTGTTTTTTTTTTTGTGATAAAAATTAAAAATATAAAACACTAGTTATTACCCGTACCTGAAGGCACTATGCAATAAAAAACATGTTCAAACCTAGCAATATCAACGAAAAACAATTAATTTTTCCACCAAAAGACTATAACTCCGATCAATACACACCGATACGAAAAACCAACAAATCAGGTGATTAAAGTAAACAACAAATCTGAGAAAAATTCTGATCAACCTAGATAAAAAATTAAAAAACCTCAATTTTATCACATAGCCTTACATAAATAATCAAACCACCAACCATACACCAAAGGAATGCATAACTAATGCTATCAATCAAACCATTAATAACGAACCAAATAAACACCAAAAAAATATTCAAAATTCACTTCTTGAATTTTTTTTAGTTAATGTCCTAATAAAATAAAAATTAATAATTTAAAAAAATGACCATCAGCAAGATAAAAGTAATGCATGTAGTCCATTTAAGAGACCGAATACGTTGCTAGACTTGACAAACAAAAAATTTTGGGCAAAATTTTCTTCAAGAATAAGACCCAAAGAATCTAACAACAAAGGCCTATACTAAATTAGAGACCAAAAATTTAAATAGTAAACGAATAACAAAACAAACTAATGAATTATTAACTGAGACAAATTACACAAACTAATGAATTATAAACAAAAACTCAAATTAAAACACAACCAACAATCATAAATTAAAAGAGAAATAGAGACAAAATCTGTGAGCGTGAATATTTGTTATAATTGTGTGTAATGGCATGTATGTGTGAAGTGTGTTGTGCGTGCTCTGTGTGTGTATGGTATGTTGTGCGTTTATGTGTTATGTGTACTCTGTGTGTGGGTGAGATGAGTGTGTGCATATAGTTAGGGGAATAGAGCTAGGGGCATTTTGTCGAACAACTTGTGTGCATGGTGTGCATATGTCCTGTGTGTTGAGCAGTCAACAGAGAGAGAAACAGAGAGATAGATACAGAGAGGCAGAGAAGTAGAGAGTTGTGAGCTACCTGGTATGCTGTGTGCTCAGAATGAACAATGGAGTGAGAAATGAGCAGCAAAGATATAACAACCAAAGAGAGAGAGTCACCTATAAAACCTGTGTGGAATATGAAAAACATTAAATTCAATACACCAAAATCAAAAACACAAACACAAAAGCCTTGTCCACCCAAGCCCTAATTATCAAACAGAATATGAGTTAAACTCTAATAATTAAACAAATTGGGGAAGACATTAAACAGACCCAAACCATCAAACACAGTCCATAGCAATACGACTAAAAAATTCCACGAACATAAATAAATAGATAAATGAGGCACCTAATAACATTCAAGCATTCACCAGTGAACTCAAAAGGATTGGATAGCGGTGTGTGTGTGTGTGTGAGAGAGAGAGAGAGAGAGAGAGAGAGAGAGAGAGAAGACGTACCTGAGCAATGCAACTGGATGGTTTGAGGGCTCGATGTGAGGTGGTTGTCAGGGAGGTGGGTGGGGGCTAAGAAACAGGAAGAGGGAGGAAGGAAGGGAGAGGGAAATAGAGAGGTGAGAGAAGGAGAGAGAGGGGGAGGAATACGAAGAATACATCAGTGGTGGCTCCGGTGGTTATCTGGTGGCTGGTCTTTGGTAGCTCAGGCTTGTAGAAAGAGAAGAGATAAGAAAAAAAAGGGGTAGGAGAGAATAGGGCAACACATGTGTGTTTTTTGCGTGTAGAGAGAGAGAGGAATAGGTGTGACTGAGAGATAAGGGGAGAAAGGGAGAGAGAAAGAGAAAGTTGCTAGGTGAGATAAGGAGGGAGAATTAGTTTGCTTTTAAAAATGGAAAAGCGGAGGGAGAATGT